ATGAGGGTATCACCAAATGGGCAACTGCCAACTGGGGTGCTGTGTGAAAAAGCTCCTCTGTTTCATTTGGTACTTGAATCAGCTGTTAGAGATGGGACCTCTAATATGGCCACTGCCTGAACCCTCTCTAAAAAAGCCAATGCCTTTTGTTTAGATGCTGTCCTTCACCAGCCAAAAACCATAAACACAGTACAGACCATAACAAATCCCAGGTAATAACAATATCCAACAGTAAAAGAATTTCAAAAGACAGACAAAAGTTGGTTTTGTATTTTGCACAACATATCAAAGTGAATTACATTACCGAATTGAATGTATGGAGCCGCGGGGAGGTTTAAGGTGTAACCTCTCGGGCATTCGCCATTCCTTGGCATCAAGAAGACTCCTGTCTCGATCTTAAGCAGCCTGAAATGGAGAAATGTAGTGAGGAACCATGTAACGAAAACAGTGGCTCATCAGTCATCACATAACAGTCCTATTTAACATAGCTCAAAGTGTCGAGTCGTGTCGAGATAAAGCTCTCTCAGCAAGATTATACTACATATTGAGACTATGGTAATGAAAGTTTTCTCAAAACTCAAGCAGAAGTCCATAATCCCCTTTCATGCATCTTAGAGAAGGTGATTCTAATGAATCAGACAGCCAAAGCTATTAGCATGATCTGTACCCCTATCAGTGAATGAATAACTCTACAACGGTTATAAGTGACTCGGAATGACAGTTTTAGATACAGTTTTTCCAAAACTAAGTGACAAAATGATAATGTTCTTGTTCTGTTCATATCTCAGCTGTTTCCAAAAGGTCAAGGCAAGCAACATTTCCATCATACAATTGCAGAAGAGAATCCATAAAGCACAAAACTCAACTGAACTAATGAGCATAAACAGATTCAATTGTTGGCTAAGTTTGTACATTTATATCAGAAATGACTATTCTAGAGCACTATGAGAATAGAGCTGAAGAATTATATATATGTAAGATAGCAAAAGAATATATTTCCAAATCATTTAATAGGAATACTGGTATCTGCAGAAATCAAATATTTTAGCTGCATTAAATGTTCATCATTTGATATGTTAAGCGAAAGTCGAAGATTTGTGATCAATACTTCTTGTTCCCAACTCAAAGGTCCCGATGCATGCAATGCCTCGATAGTGCAACGGTAGGCTTGTAACTCTAACCTATGGATTTCAGCTTCCAGCTCTTCTTTTGTTGGGAGAGAATGTCCTTCGTATACCAAATGGCGAGGTGATTGATTATCACCAAAGTAGCCAGCAATTTGTTCAGTCACACCAGCAGAAACATCACAAGGCATCTCACTTGAGTTGTCACAGCTGATGCTGCAACTACCAACAGAGCACATCATGCTATCTACATCATTCGATTCTCGAACCAGACTAACGGGTTCCTTACCCTTGACGTCCAATTCCATATGCCCACCAAGTCTGTGATTCAGAGATGCAGGCCTATGTCTTTCACCCAGAGAATCTCTAGGATAAGAAACAGGATCGGGTCCTACCTGCAGTTCAGGTAACTCTGTTGGATTTGAAGCAACCACCTTAACATATCTGCCCTCTTTCTCAATCAATCTAACTTTATGACTAGCTTCATAAAATGCTTCAGACGTGCAATTGGTTGATCTCTTCAGAATTCTCACCTTGTGGCTATCTTGAAAATTTTTGTTCCTAATAGCAAAGTAGTCGTCTTTTCTCGGCAGAGTTGTCCTCGAGTTTGTCTTCTGAACTTGATAGGTTGAATTTTGACTGTGGTCTAAAAGTAGATTGGTATGGAGTTTCCCTCTAGTACAATTTTTATCTACCTGCATGTCAAAAATGCCCCTTCTTAACTTGTAATTTTATAAACACGTGAAAACTACAAGAGAATATGATCTGAAAATTGCTCTGTTGTATGAGTTTCTTCTTCTTTCCTTTTCAGTTGCAAGTGTTCAGTGTTTTTCTGTTTGTATTTATACGCTACAACGATGACAAACTGAATAAATCACAAAAGGCTCCTAAATGAGTATACTACAATGTGTAATCTAAAGCCCAGCAAAAGTGACGCATAAAACTGAATAAACTGCTGAAAGACACTTAGCACACTCATTCACCAACATGAACATTCAAATATAACGGGGCATGACCAAAAGTCCGTTACAACACATGGTAAGGTTTCAAATTCATAATTCAGCATAAATCAACAAGAAATATTGTGGAAAAAAGAGTAGATAAAGATGATATTTACCTTTCCAACTGTAACCCGTGCATCATCATCATCTTTCCATGATTGCCTAACCCGGATATCAGATTTTCTGACTTTAAACTCCTGAGAGGATCCTAGTAATCTGACCAGAATGTACATTTTCCCCAAAACCTCAGAGACTGTGGCCATTTTCCATGAGTTGTTGTCAAACACCTCTACAACGTCACCAGGAGCCCAAGCCTCTGAAACTTCTAATTGAGGGTGGCAGGGCATGATGACCTTGTGAGACGCCTGCTCCACCATGACGTGGTTGCTGCCACCCTTAGATTTAACATGTCTAGCCATAAAGTTGGGGCCACTGCCTTGTATTGCCTCCATAGGACCTTGTGATCCCAAAGGCACCTTCTTTTTGTTCAGGATTCTCAGTTTACTTCCTTTTTTTAATTTCATGATACAAGCCAAAACCTGTTATTCAGCATTGAAGCAAACATGAGTCGAAGAAAACATATAGACATGATAAAATACTTTTGAAATTAAAGAAAGACAACAATTTATAATATCCCAAATGTTGTTTACTGAAAATTAATCGTTCAAATAATACAATCACTACCGAATACACAGAAATTCAATATAGGAGGATCCACAACTCTAAGAATGAAAACTAAGAACTCTTTCTCTAAAAAAATTGACTCTGCAAAAATTTGATGAAAAGAGAAAGGGAGTAACAGATCAACACGATTTCAGGCCATGTCTCATATATTCTCCATTATATTGCCCACATAAAGGAGAGTGTCCCAAATGTTTAAGCCATTTATCCTATTATAATTATATTATTGGAATGTCAAAATCATAAATATCTTAGTGTTTTCAGGTCTTGATCTAATCGAAAGCAATACCAAACGACCTCCATTTCAATTTCTTTCTTTTTCCTTCTTTATTTGCTTTATACTACTGCCTTTGATTACCGCTAAAAAAAACAGACGTCAAACAGTACCACCACCTCAACTGTTCATATAATCTCATGCTGCAGAACAAATAAAAGCATATCAAAAGAAAATTTAAAGCCAAAAAACCCCTTTGGGATTGATCAGGCAATGAGAAATAAAATAACACAAACTAATTTCAGTTTGATTGCTTGCTGGAAAGGAGACAAAGGGAAAAAAAAATCAAACAGAATCTTGAATGTATCCATGATCATGTCGAAAAAGTACAAAATCTTCATCAAAACAAGTTCATGGAACTGATTGGCTTGGTTTTGATATCAATTTTTTGTTCAGAATTACCCAAACCCAGAGCAAACCCATTATTTACCTTACGTTTTCCACTGCTTTCTGAGCAACCAAACATCAGCCCAACAAATGAATTATCCGCAGACAAGAAAAGAAAGAACGAAAGAAAGAAAAATTTCTCAGCAACAGATTGAAATTACAAACACAAAGAAAAAAACGCTTCATAAACCGAACCCAATTTAGGAAATAGTGAGAAAAAGAGCATCAAGATTTAAGCAACTGCTCAAAAATCAAAATGCAAATATGGATTGAACCCAAAAGAAGATCGATTTCAACGAAGCAAAAGGAAACGAATTTCACTGACCCCTTTTCAATTGTAGAGAGAAAATTGATATCCGACGATCATCTCAGGCAGGGCTCTCTCTCTAATCTAATTGTGCTTGTATTTTGTGTTTAAGAGTTTTATGTCGGTCCTTATATTGGATAATTAAGCGTGATTTGCTTTTAATTCTTAGGCCATACTAAGAAGGCCCAGAAAAAGGAGGGAAATAAAAACAACTTAATAAATAAACAAAGAATAATGGTATGGTTTTTATGCCAAGTTGCCAACAACCCAAGAATAGCTTGTTGAGTTGGGAATTACCTGTTACTCCTTCAAAGCAAGCACTGTAAAGACTTCATTTTTTTTTCTTGGGTCACTTTTTCTTTGAAATTTGTCACTTGGGTTTTATTCAAGTTCTTGAAATGAAGATGGATTAAATTGGATTTTAAAGCAAACTGCAATTTATAAAAATGTGATCTTTACACAAGTGGTGTATAATCAATCCATTAGGCAATCACATACCAAACAATTTGGCAAATACTCAATAGTTTGGTGGATTTGGCCACCATTTCATTGCCCCACTTCTAAAAATGATGATATATATATAGAACTCCTCCAAATTATCCTCTTTTTAGATTTTAGTTTTCACAGTGGAAAATCAAACAAATAAGAAAAACCATTTAGAACAATTAATGATAACATGGGTGTGCTGTGTGCAATCCCTATGAAATATTTCCAAGTAATGTTATAATTATTTTAAATCATGTCACTTGGTACTCATAAATTCAAATAGAATGAATAATATATTATGCAATTTTTTAATAAAAAAATATTATTTCCACTATTTCAGATTTTTTTTTACTACAACATATGGGTGTGAGAATTTAAACTCACGACTTTTTGTACACATATATGTCTTAACCCATTGAGCTAAGCTTATGTTGGCATTTCAAGATTTTCTCTCTTTATCCATTAAATTTAAGAGATATCACAGAATGCTATAAATATGGTTAAAATGTATTTTTGGTGTCCACAATACATTTTTTATCTTTTAAATTTTATCCTACTAATTATAATCTGCTCAATTTCCAAACATTAATTTAATTTGATGGTAATTACTACATATCTCTGATTAAAAGATCGTAAGTTCGAATCTCTCACCCCAACTTGTAGTATAATAAAATAACAACTCAATAGATAAAAACTAGTTAGTGAAAGGAATTCAACATAGTTCAAACCTTTCTAATAGTTAAATAGTTGGTTATGAGAGAGGGTAAGATCTGATCCAAATTGGAATATTCTTACACTTCTGACACAAGGCTTAATATGTTGGCTCTTCTGAATGACTTCTGTAACTTTGATATCCAAAACTAGAAAGAGAAACAAGGAAAAAAAAAGAAAGAGAGAATACTATATTCTTTCCCTTTTTCTATGTTTTTAAGATTTGCCTGTCTCTCTGTGGAGAATATGTCTAAAATATGCAAATTGTATGGCAGTCAGTGAAGAACTTTTACTGTTGAATTGCTTTACTTGATTCTTTCTTTTTCAAAAATTTCATGTTGAAATTGTATTTATAACCATGCTCGTTGAAACACTAACCCATATCAATACTAACCAATAGTGATATTGGTGGCTTGTGGCGTTTTAATAAGTTTGAATTTATAAAGTTTGGAGTCAAAAGAATGAACTTTAAAAACTTTGATTCGTATAACCTATACTTAGTTTGCGAGTATGTAATTTGTAAAAACTAGTATATAGTATATAAACAATTGAGTTTTGTTTTCGATAAATATAGACTCAAATTCCAACCCTTCGGTCGAGGGCTCCAAACCTTCTCAAGATTTCGCCTTTTTTTATGAATGATTTCTTTCTTTTTTCCGATGAATGATTTGTTATGTTATTGTATTACTAGATTGGAGAAATTATAACATTATGCGTCTAAGCAACTAGTTATCGTCTAAAATAGATTGAGTGAGGTGAAAGGTTGGGAGGTCTAATTGAAAGAAAAGAAAAGAAAATAAAGGGTTGTTGAGATGTGGCTTTGAAGCTTGAAATAACCTTTTGATACACGTTAATCAATTTCTCTTCCTCTATCACCATACAACTTTCCCTTTTTTCAAACAAACTTCTCCTAATAATTCTGTTAAAAAGTTCACACGTCCCTTTCTTTTTCTCCCATCTTCCTTCTGCACGTTTCTCTTTTGATGTAATTAATGTTGAATTGAACTCATTCATAATCATTGATAGAATTGTGTTATGGAAACCCCAGAAACGAACAACTTTCAAAGGAAGAAGATTGAGAACTGTAATTTTATTTCAAAGGAAGTAATTTGAGTTACATAATGGGGTTTGTACATAAACTTTACCTGGTTGAACAAACCCAAAGGATTAGAGCACAAACAAGGAGAACAAGAGGGATTATGTGAACTGCGTTTTCTCCTCCTGGAGATTTAAAATGCAACTCCATTTCTCTCTTGGAGGTACTATTACTCTTAAACAGCGGCAAATGACCAGAAGCTTCATCCTTCAATGGTGGGGAGCTGATCGAAGCCAGTGTCATGTCAACCGAGAGCTCGTCGAAGCTCCGAGCCATGCTTGAAGACCTGTGCATTCTGAAGGTAAAAGAAAGAAGAAAGGAATGACAGATCTTATACACAGATTCAGGGGGGGTTATATTATATTTTTCTTCTTCTTGTTTGGTTTTGTGCCTGAAGTTAAGGAGATTTCAAATCCCAAGAGTTGACAAAACTGAGAATTTAAGAATTCTGGATGATGAATAATGCAAGTTGGGGAGGTAGCTTGATTGAAAAGCAGCTTTAGGAGCAACTAAAGGCAAGGACTAGGCATTTCCATGTGAGAGGGAAAACGCATCCAAAATAATAACGGATATTCTCTACATAATGTATATTTTGGTAATTCAAGAAATTTCGGGACAAAGCTACATACTGAAATACGAGTTTGCCACTCCACTCGAGACATCTAACATGTACATAACATTGTCGACTAGCTCGACATCGAGAAACATCTTCAGCAACTATTTGAAGTTCCTGCACACTATATGCAATCAATCCTATCAAAGGAGTTGGTCACTTGGCAACGATCCCTAGAGGGGAAGAGATTGCCAAGAACCAATACAATTTGAAGTCAATAGAGGCACAGAAAGATGAAATGTAGTTGTAAAATAGAAAGAATGAGAAGGCCAGCAACTATTAACTCTGTCGTTAGAAGACAAAATCAGGAGACATGTAGCAGAGTGCAATATGAAATTACAATGAGCAGTTTAATACGGAGAAATTTGAACTAATTTCTGCTTCGGAAACATGAACATCTCCCACGATTAATCTGAGAGAGTTCACCAGTAAGAAGCAACACAGATATGAGTGTTAAATTTAAGTGAATGAAACTGAGAACCAATTTTTTCTTGAAGAACAAAACAATCTAATTCAATATTACACTAGTTTTCATCAAAGAATCGCAGGACAATTAACCTTATATCTTTCCCACTAACAGGAACTTCAATGTCTTATGTATAAAAATGTTTTACACACCAAATATTATAACTTATGGATGCAAGCCTTGACATTTCCATGCGCAAATTATCAAATCAGATAGATAACAGCAAAGTACAATACTAGTTGTGCAAAAAATGTCTTCTCAGAAACTCAGATAGGAGTTGCTAAGATTCCGGTCAGAGTCAAAATTCAAGTTACTGCTTCTTCCTCTGTCTAGCCCCCATCCTCCAGAAAAGCACATTCAACTGCTTTCACACCTGTAAATGAAAATCAGTAGACAATTAGCAATAAGGCTATCAAATAAATCACGAGTTCAAATACTTAAATGAATCGTCCTATGTTGAAGTTTGAAGAAAATCATTATCTTGGAGTTCTATACTGTATATTTAGTGACTTTCTGGAAATCAAATTAACATCTTGACTAGCATTTGGAACTTCTTATTTCTAGTCAAAACATGGATAATTTGATTTCCAGAAAAGCTGGGTTGTAATTTATCCAGAAATGCTTTTGGGTTCCATTGTATGGAATCAGAAATTGACCACATCACAAATGTCTTATACTGACCCATAAACTTTACCTCACAAAAGTGTACACAGCGTCATAATAAAATTGTTTGTGTACATACCTCATCTAGTCGTATGTATATTCTTCCAATTGCTGCAACTATTTCCATCCTCACTCAATGTAAAACTTATTTGTGAATGGTTGCTGATGCAGCTTGCCAGAAGGTTGGTTAATTTCACAGCCAAAATCAACCTCCATAAGTCGATGATTTTCTTTAGAGCGTTTCATAAAGAAGGAAACCTTCAATTCATCTCCTTCACTGACCCAGACGGGAGGGTGCAAAAGGAAGACCTATCAAATGAGGAAAAGATAGAATTGGAATAACATTTCTTGGTGCAATAAAAAAAGCAATAAATCACTGGTGGCTGAACAAAGAACTCCTTTTACTGAGAATTTGCCATAGGTATAAATTATAGAAAGCCAGCGAGCCAAGACAAGGTTTCAATACTCTACTACATATTTGCTGACTTCTGGAAAATACAGACCTGTTGTCCCCAGTGTGTGCCGCTACCAATGCTCGGAGCAGTTGTCAGTTCAATCTCTAATTGAGCTGGATCCTCGTTTCTTCCCTAGTACGCCCAAATTGAAAAAGTTATGAAATCTATAGCAAAGCCTGGGCCCTGGAGTAAGCTACACTTTTACGTTTCAAAGGGAAATGGAAGCTCAACTTACTCGAAAATGGACATCAAACCATCCACCATATCCACAAAACCGTGTGTTCTCTGAAGTGATTGATGACGAAAAGCTTGATCTGACTTCAAGAATTTCATCGACGGTAGCAGTCAAACAATCAATATCCTTTATGATGGCTGCTGTCCCAATAACTTGTTGTGGATGAAGGTTGTTCCACAAAGAAGTCTATAAGTAGTAATAAAACAATTTTCAATGTTGTTAAAGAGTTACAAAAGCAAACCCCACATCTATCTACGTAATTAATGTATGCGGTAGAGGGATAGCCCATTATAGTCCAATAAGATAGGATAGGAACAACATGCCAACGTACAATTAAGTCACAATTCAAAATAATAGACAACTCCATCCAAGGAACTCATCAATAACCATTAAACATCACCATTACAAAACTATGCAATTGCAAATTCTCTCGGCACGCGATAGTGAAAATAAACAGAAAACATTATACAATTGAAAAACAACGAGGATCTGTCAATCATCCATTTTAATAACCAGAGTAAAACTACTCGTCCTAGAAATCTGGACAAGCTTTATTATGAAACATAGTCTAAAATCAAACCAAGTTATTTGTCTAAGAGTCAACATGTACGATACCAACTAGAAAAAGGTAAGAAACTAAAAAAAAAAAACTCCCATTCCCAAATTTGAGCCTCACCTGAAGATAGTATTTTTTTTGCTCTTCAGAGAATGGTTTCGTTAAAGTAGACATGTCAACTCCATAATCCGCTTTGGTATCAGCAACAAAATTAGACCAATCATACATAGCTCCTTCATAATCATTCATTTTTTGATCTCCCAATTTGGACCGAATTGGTGCCACCCACATGCGTGCATGACTTGGATACCTGGATCAACCAATGCCCGTTTTAGATGGTTTGGACAGTATGGTAGACAAATTCTGTAGGTTGAATTATTTTCTTTACGAAATAAAATCATAATACTTCCATCACTTACATCACCCCAGATGGCTTCAACCAGTGGTCACGTGCATAAATCACAGAATCAAACATAGATTCCCGCAAGAGAAAGTATCCCATCCACTCTGAGATGATGACATCAACTGATCATCATCAACGAATAAGCAAAGTTAGAGCTCAATCCAGGTTTTTCTATATAATACATTTTGCTCGAAGATTAGTACAATTGATGATGAAAGCTTCAGACGTACTTCAGCAGAATTCAAAAAACATCAAGGGGGGAAAGAATACTAATTCTAACCTTTCTCTGGAAGGACAATATCCTCCATGGATCCCTCAATCACATCAATCACGTCCTGAAGGTTGTTAGCTTTAACAAGTGCACGGGCATGTTCCGACATCTTAGTTGCTTCCACTGCGTATACCTTCCTTGCACCTGCTTGCGCCGACCAAATAGCTAGGATGCCACTCCCGGTTCCGACATCTAATACGGTCTGCCCAAGAAAAATAAT